ATGTAACTTTTCAAACCCAAGAATAACACAAGCATTTGTAACATTACAGCTCTGAATACAATTAAATTTACTGTTTAATTTGGATTAGCTGTTTGTTTTATTGTTGTCATGTGACACTTTCCAAATCGGTTAGTTTTCGTAAAGTATTCGTAATTTCTAGATGGTTCGATCGGTATGGATCATAAACATAAACAAATGACGTTTTTGGCCCAAAAATAAACATTATTTAACATTGCTTAAATTGAACTGCCAAAACATATGTTCAATGATATTAGTATAGGATTCGGGCCAACAACTTCATTTTTGTTTATGTTTATGATCCATACCGGGATTTTTCTAGTAATCGTGTTCGATACTAGACCCGGTCGTCCTTGATCACTGGATTCTTCATAAATGATCGTTACTATTTAGTATGCATTTACTAATAAATCTGCTAATATAAGTGAGTAAAAAAGCTACACAAATCATCTCACTTCATTATACATAAACAATACCCCCGCCGCAGCAAACCTGCAGACTAAGCAAATTTCCATTTGCCTGATTTGATTATCTACTATAAATATTAGGTTTAACGAGTACCTAGGTTTGCTGCCTACAGGGAGAGTAATAAAGTGTGTTTTTTAGTAAAATATTAATAGCTTAGTATAAAATAAATAGATTCGCCAGGTTTGATCCAAATATATCCATAAACAAGCCAACTACAACAGTTTAGTCTACTTATTCTCCGTAAGAATAACATGGGAATTGTATGTCCTGTTTCATTTGTCAGGACCATTTTAAAAAAGCCCAATAACCAAGGACAGCTGGGTTCAGTTTCGAAATATCATATAGCTACACACTTTTCTCAATTGTGTCTTCATGGAATTATAATTGGTAGAAATAGGTTTCAATAATTAATTCTTTATTTTATCGCGCATAAAAATGGGTAATATAAAATGTATGTAGGTTAAGTGTACAATTGAGTAGAATGTTTATGCTTAAGCGGACCAATTGTATTCTATATTGTGGTGCCATGGCCCTTCGTATTCCTGAGGACTTTCCAATTAGACAGGTTCCATTATACAGACTATAGAGTCATCAACATAGCGTGTACTAGTGTTTCTTGTACATCTTATATAGTATACTGATTATGAACGACTTTTGGTCCATTGTACTTATGCAAAGGTTATAGATAACCTAAAGACAAAGGTTAAATTTGATTCACTGATTATTCTTTCAGAAAAAAGCAGAAACGGAAACTCCTTGATTCAGGCGAAAAATAGCTCAAGAACACTGAAATCAGGACGGAAAGCGCCAGGAGTCAACGGAGCGAAGGAGAAAGTTCGAAGGTCCTGGGAGTCTGCAGACAAATCTCGTGATCAGCTGATTGTTACACAACAGCTGGTGTCGTTGACCCAATGAGAGTGTAGACATCAACACTGGGATCTTGGTCAAGTGCAAGGAAATCTGGAGGGAAACCGAGTCTGTTGCCAAGCAACCGCTAACGACTCGGAACCGCCAAAAACTTTACGGGAATCCATGTGGCGGGGAAGGTATATCCATAAGATATGTATATGAACACGTAATTTACACGTTTAGCTGGAAAAATGAGTGTATATGTGCTACCATTATGTCAGTAGGTTGCCATTTGAATTCTAAAAAAGTCAAACATTTTGAATGGTACGATGCCCATGACCATTTGACTTTTACGAAATTATCCTGCCTGATCTTAAAACCAGATGATCTTAGAAACAGTTTATCTTAGAAACGGATGATCTTAGAAACAGTTGATTTTAGAAACAGCTGATCTTAGAAACAGCTGATCTTAGAAACAGCTGATCTTAGAAACAGCTGATCTTATTCAGTAACAAATCTGTCCTCTCATTCATTCAATACTCAAAGTTTACCGCTGATGTGTTAGCGCAACAAAAATACATCTCTGCCCATGTTTATTGGATTTAGTGTGTTTTATTTATTTTTATTTACTTTCTGTAACAATCCTAATCTAAATTGATGTTTTTTTTTATCAAATTCGGGAGTGGGGTCTTAAAAGACTTTTAAAAAATTGAAAAAAACACGATTTTAATTAGTTTTCTGCCCACGGTTGTTACCTGATCTATCAGCTAAAAGTGAAGGTGTGTAGCATTGTTTTTGTAATGTTGGCAACACAACTGCACCACAATCCAAGGCAAACATGAGTGAAATATGGTGGTAGAATGTAAGCTATGACAAGAATCATTTACCGACGAATAAATTGATTATTTTATACAAGATTTTTGAATTGTTAAGTTCAATGACAGCTGTTGTAATATTTATTTGTTTGGAATACTTTCAGGTCCGAACCAGAGTCCTTTGGATTCTGAGGTAAGCTCTTTAACTACTTAGCTGACTTGGCCGGTGAAAAGTGGCGATTGAATAAAATTCTTGTTTCACAACTAAAAAGTGATTTTTGCTATCACCTCACCAATAATGTAAATCTATAAAGATAGGTTTGGTGATTTGATGGGAATATTGATTTAGTTACTCTAAACTTTGATTGAAAGATAAACAGTTTGCAAAATTCAAATATGTAAAACATTCTACAATAATTAATTCTACTGAATAAAAACAGCAAAAAACGTACTGTATTTTGGCAACCAATCGCTACAGAATTAAAATATAGTATACTAATACTTACTAACTTATTGGTTGGCATATTACGTGTTTGCGGTATTATAAGAATTCAGAGTGTCCCGTTAGTATACATGCAGACTTCGGAAAATAGTTTTGTGGTTCTATTTAGATACTATTACTTTCAATTTAAATCGAAGTACGGTTTTTGTTATTTTTACTAAATGATGCACTAGAGAACTAAATAATCATCCAAGATTTTAAAATTATTTTGTTACGATTGATTTAAGTATTTTATTCGTTAAAGGTCTTTATAATGTTTTAGTATTTTAATAAACAGTGTTTTGACTTCTGGGTAATTACTTTCAATAATGAATACTTCCAGATATTCCTTAAATATATTTAAGGTAAACGAGTTCTAGCCTTGCATGGGGCCAGGGTCATATAAATGATTTAATACGATAATATCTAATGCATCGATCACGAAATCGCCTACAGCATTTACGGCAATTTGTACTTTTAGGTGTCTCTACACATTTTTTGCCTTAGATTGGACAAGGAAATGACAGTACGTAGACTTAATATACTTTAAACTGTTTCCACACTACACGAAACAAAACAATACACATATGCAGGAGTTTTTTGGAATAATTTAATGTTTTCTGGCTAATGAAATCGGACGGTAGATAAATTTATGTACTCATTTTATTTTGTATAGACTTCAAGAATATTGTACATACTATTTATTATAGCCGAAATCAAATTAACGACAAATATGTATATTTTTATATAAATAATTATTTATGTATTTGTTATTTGAGATGCACAGTAAAGTATGTATTCTATCGTAAGAATTGATGTTGTAACAAAATTTAAACGTTAAATTAGAACAGTGTTGTCATTTTTATAACATGCACAAAATTAAGAATATATATAGATAATTTGTTTTAAAATCGTATATAAAATTTCACATGGATACTAAAAATTATTAATATCAAGCATATTTATCGTGAATATATGATAAGTATTCATTCCTCCAAGAAATATTGGATCAAATATTGTACAACTGAATTAATAAATTATATAAACAACAAGTTGATGTATTCATAAAAAAAAATTAAAATGAAAAAATGTATTCTATTATTGCATGTGTTCATCCAATGTACATAATTGAAATTTTGTATTTTATTGTTTATACATTGCTCAAGGGAGTCAATTAAAATTTTAATAATGGATAAAACAACTATATTAAAATATCTTAATAATACATTAGAAATATTTTGTTAACCAACACTTTTTCAAAAAAATGGTGACTTAATCATTGTAATTGTTAAGTTTTGAAATTCGGGGATGCGTGTTGTTGTAATTTATAGCTTCGAAAACAGCACCTTATCAATCTCCTTCTAAACAGTTTGTAGTATTAAAATATAATAATTTATTTGTTGGCGGAAAAGAAATGTCAGGGTCAAATACGTCCATACGGTATTTATACTAGTAATTTTAGTACACTAATACAACTGTAAAAAAATCTTGCAATGAACGTGGACTCTGAAACTGGGGCTGGAAAAATCACTTGAATAGTTTCACCGAAACCTCACTTCACCCAAAAACTTAAGACGAATGAGGCGTATGAGTTGTGAATAACGAATGCAGGCAGGATTGAGAGAGAAGAAGATGATCAGTGTAGTATTGTTGCTAATATCAGCTGTTTCTCAATATAGCACCATTCATACAAACTTACAGAAAAGACAGCATAGAATTTAGTTTTAATAGTAAACAAACTGAAATCTACATGCTATTATATTTGAATGAATTTCAGAACATAATTTTCTTCTTTTAAAGGAAAACGTTTAAATGTTTAAATTAGAATGAACTCGCAAATTTTATAATTTGTATTAGCAATTTCAGAACATGTTTTTTCTTCTTTTGAAACTCCCTTAGTTGCATTGAATCAATAATAAAAAAAATATTAATTACTGTATTTCCAAAGTATAGAGAGCTTTTTATTCTATTGATAAATTCTTAATGATCTAAAATTTAATAGTAAATGTTTATAAATATTTCCCATAGTTTACTAATTTTTAAAGCTGAAATACTCGGATAGCCTATTGTAATCTAATAAAATCAATATAATTTCCTTGAATTTGTTAAACAATTTGTAATCATTTAAATATTATTTTAAAAACTGTAAAACTAGATATAAAGCAATATTAAATTATGTTTAAATTATTCAGTACGTTTGAATTTTTTCATATTTCTATGAAATTGCTGTCAGCAAACAAACTAGATTAACACAACATTTTAATTTTATAAAGTTATGTGAATTCTTTAACATAGTGTGGTAATGATACAATTTCTATGTTGTGCTAGTGACAATATCTATCTTGTATTTGTATTATGTGCTGACATACCTGCACAGGCAGTATAAACAGTGTAGTCAAGGGAGAAAGGACCCACACTAGACACAAACACGGTTTTGACTGAAGGAGTTGTGAGAGAGGCAATGGAAGGCCCTCCGCGCGGGTGTATATGCACTCCCCTCCAGCTGGTACGAAACAATACGCTATACGCTGTATGACGTATACTTAACGCTATACTTAAACTTTGTTGTTTGATGGTAAATTAAGGGTGTATAACGTACACCTTATGTTTAAAACTTAAACTTTGCTGTTTGGTGGTAAATTTAAGGTGTATAAAGTACACTTTATGCTATAAGACTTATACTTTGCTGTTTGACAGTAAATTAAGGGTGTATAACGTACACCTTAAGTATAAAACTTAATCTTTGCTGTTTGATGGTAAATTTAAGCTGTATAACGTACACCTTATGTATAAAACTTAAACTTTGCTGTTTGATGGAAAATTTACCTTGTATAACGTACACTTTACGCTATAAGACTTAAACTTTGCTGTTTGATGGTAAATGTAAGGTGTATAAAGTACACCTTATGTTATAAGACTTAAACTTTGCTGTTTGATGATAAATTTACCTTGTATAACGTACACTTTACACTATAAGACCTAAACTTTGCTGTTTGGTGGTATATTTACCCTGTATAACGTACACTTTACACTATAAGACCTAAACTTTGCTGTTTGATGGTATATTTACCTTGTATAACGTACACTTTATGTTATAAGACTTAAACTTTGCTGTTTGATGGTAAATTTACCTTGTATAACGTACACTTTATGTTATAAGACTTAAACGTTGCTGTTTGGTGGTAAATTGAATGTGTATAATGTATACCTAATGTTATAAGACTTAAACTTTGCTGTTTGATGGTAAATTTACCTTGTATAACGTACACTTTACGCTATAAGACTTAAACTTTGCTGTTTGATGGTAAATTTACCTTGTATAACGTACACTTTATGTTATAAGACTTAAACTTTGCTGTTTGATGGTAAATTTACCTTGTATAACCTACACTTTACGCTATAATACTTAAACTTTGCTGTTGATGGTAAATTTACCTTGTATAACGTACACTTTACGCTATTAGACTTAAACTTTTAAAAAGTTATGTATGGTGGTTTATAAAGTAACATAGTGTGCAAATTATATGTGTTAAATTATAGAAATATTGTCTCTACAATAATATAATCTGATATTATTCCAAAGGTTCAGTGGTGGCCTTTGCATAATAGAACATTTAATTGATTTGGTCACATCAAAGGAGGATGGCTCTTCTGACTAAGTAACTGAACAAGGACATTGAATATGTAACACTGTCAATGTGGTGTTATACAGGGTATCCCGTAAGTAATCAGCCATAGTTTCGGGAAATGGTTCTATAGGGTAAACATAAAGAGTAAATCAAGAATTAAATTTTCCAAAACAGCTCTTTTAACCATGTAATCCAATATCGTGATTTTTGTTGTAAAATTAGGTAGAATTAGCCAGGTTGCTCCTCATTTTTGCCTTATTTGACAACAAAACATCTTAATATTTCTTTTTTCATTCGATATTTTTAAACTTGGTGGCTTTTGATAGGAAATTTTAAATGCTAAATTAATGTCTTTACAAAATTATGTCATAAAATCAGCTATTGCTTAGTAATTTAAGCTATGAAAATAAATTTCTGCCATTTTTTTCAACCAAGTTTGATAAAGAACAGTTGGAACGATCCAAAGATAAACATGTTTAAAAACGGTGGATAGCCTATATGGTCAAAAAAGTGATTGAACTATTCATCAACGCAAAAGTGTTTATGATTTTAGTTCTCTCAATAACTAAGCAATAACAATCAAAACTTTACGCATAATTTATTTTACAAAAACATCAGTTTCATCTCAATCAATGTAGTTCAAGTCATTGCGGTTTCATTTTCACTGTAAATATTTTATTTGGTAAAGTTCGTAGTGGGCAATCGTTTATTACCTAGTTATGTTTTAGTGCATTTCCCTATCGGGAAGTAGCTATTACCGTAGGTGGCACGGTAAGACCTAGTACCGGGACAGATTTCCTTTTTCATTTTGATGTCCTCAGAGGCCAAAAACACCATTCGTTCAAAATTTTATATATATATATACTAGCAGAGTACCCGTCCTTCGTACGGGGTTGGCATATAAGATTAAAATGCTTATTGCAGTTATGCGTTTGTAATGGGGGAGGAGAAAGTTTGATAAAATTTGCTTCTTTAAATTGACAGTACAACAGTATTGACAGTATTGGTATTACAAATCTACTATAGCCATAATGTTCTACCACTTCACCTAAAAAGTAAGAAAAATAAATTATTAAAAATTCTCAACAAATCACAAATTATTCATGACATTAAAAACATAAACATAACTGTAAACAATCCTACTCTGACAGTTCTCATTACATAAATGAAAAAAATATAGTGCTGCACCCTGTTGGTAAGTCGTATAACTTTAATGCTTTTGAATATCACAGAACCAACTTTTTTAGTTGAAACAGCTGACTAAATTCTTTAATTCCCTTTAAATATGAATACTCATAAGGTTAACATGGGGAACTACAGAGCCACTGGGGCGGAGCCCGAAAGGATTTTTGAGATAAGAATATGCCTATATGTTAATTGGGAATGTGAGCTATCATGATGCCAAATTTCAGCCCAATCCGTCCAGTGGTTTATGCGTGATTGAACTTCAAACAAACAAACAAACAAACAAACAAACAAACACACAAACTTTCACATTTATAATATTAGTAAGATATCTACGTCCGTGAACGCGATAACTTGAGTATTTTTTGTCCGATTTTGATGAAATTTGGTTTAAAGGCGTAAAGCGGGATAAACTTGAACGAGTTCGCGAACCAGCATGATCGGACCATAGAAACGGGGCTTAACGGGGGGTTTTATGGGGTAAAAATTGGTTTTTCTCACTTTTGACTCTCAAAACACAAAATTTTCCAATTTCTCTTTAGACCTTTTTAAAGAGCTTAAAAAAACAAATAATTTAGTATATAAAAGTAGCCTATTTTTTCGGTTATTAGTAACGGAGAAAATTTAAGAAATTGTAAATTTAAAATTCCCATGTTATTGTTATGGAGAATATTGTCAAATGTTGTAGTTTGCTTGTTTATGGATATATTTTGATCAAACTTGGCAAATTTATTTATTTTGTACTAAGCTATCAATATTTTACTAAAAAACACACTTTATTAGTTTTCTTGTAGCAGCAAACCTAGGTACTCGTTAAACCTATTGTTATTAAAATATATTTAATTGAGAATCAATTCAGAATAATGGAAATTCGCTTAGTCGGCAGGTTTGCTGGTATTTTACAAAAACATCACCTACCATGGCTTTGGATAATGTACTGGATACATTCGATTCTCCAGACACAATGTCTCTACTACTTCTCTAGTTACTCCCTTGATCGTGGACCCATGTTACCTTAGAAGTCACCTTTTTACAAAAACACCCCCTACTATGGCTTAGGATGGTGTACTGCATACATTTCATGCTCCAGACAAAACGCCTTTACTTCTTCTATAGTGACTCCCTTGATCGTGTACCCATGTTACCTTAGAAGTCACTTTTTTACAAAAAGACCCCCTACTATGGCTTAGAATAATGTACTGGATACATTTCATGCTCCAGACAAAACGCCTTTACTACTTCTATAGTGACTCCCTTGATCGTGGACCCATGTTACCTTAGAAGTCACTTTTTTACAAAAAGACCCCCTACTATGGCTTAGAATAATGTACTGGATACATTTCATGCTCCAGACAAAACGCCTTTACTACTTCTATAGTGACTCCCTTGATCGTGTACCCATGTTACCTTAGAAGTCACTTTTTTACAAAAAGACCCCCTACTATGGCTTAGAATAATGTACTGGATACATTTCATGCTCCAGACAAAACGCCTTTACTACTTCCATAGTGACTCCCTTGATCGTGGACCCATGTTACCTTAGAAGTCACTTTTTTACAAAAAGACCCCCTACTATGGCTTAGAATAATGTACTGGATACATTTCATGCTCCAGACAAAACGCCTTTACTACTTCTATAGTTACTCCCTTGATCGTGGACCCATGTTACCTTAGAAGTCACTTTAAAAAAAAACCCCTACTATGGCTTAGGATGGTGTACGGGATACATTTCATGCTCCAGACAAAATGTCTTTACTACTTCCATAGTGACTCCTACAGTACGGACTCCCACAGTTGTTAAATCATAACCCTCCTACTAAATAACCCAAAGATTTTCTCAATATAAATACATCATTAAAAAATTATAAGTTTGCTGGTTCATAATAAAATCATAATTTGAATATTAGTGGTGTATTTATAAGAAAACACGAAAGTTTAGAAGCCAGTGGGGCGAAGCCTGTAAGTAGTTTTAAAATAAAAATATAATATACATCCTTTTTCTAAAATATTTCTACTCAATTGGTCCAGAAGTTTTAAATTGAATAATCATTGTACCAATTCACAAACATCCATATTTTCACAAATTGTTATAATATTAAGTAGGCATAAGGATTTATTTAATGTATTAAAAGGTAACTAGAAAGTAAGATAAGATCAGCTCACTTCCCGTGTTTTTGGTAAAGCTATTACAATAACAAAGAAGTTTAATATAATTTCGTAAGTACATAATTATATTATGGTTAATTTACAGTTGTACCATACCTAACAGTTTAATAGCACAATAATATTTGTAATGCATAAAACTCGCCATGTATAAAATAACGTTATTGAATTGTATTTATTAGTAAAATAATTAGTACTATTTATTTAAACCTAATGATTATTTATGTAATTGCATAATAACGGAAACAGCTTTTCCCAACTAGTAATTGAGCCATTTACCTATACTCATGATATATTGATTGATATAGTATACAATTACAACAATTAATTATATTGTAGCGTATGCAAATGCTGGCTGGTATACTAACCAAAAACCTAAACAGCTGATCAGCAAGTCATCTACTCGCATAACGCGCTGTCTTCTCATTGGTCCATTTTTGTCCTGTACGTATAGTGAACGTTACAATGTATTTTCACGT